TAAATTAAATGTGTTAAAAAACATAAGAATATCTTATATATATTATTAATTATTTATGTTGATAGAAGATATATTTATATATATATATATAATATAGAAAGAAAATAATTAGTTTCTTAAACTAACCGATAAGTTATAATCTTTGACGAGATGCATCCTCCTTGGTGTGTTACAGTTGCCTGAATAGAGCAGATTTAATCAGGGTTCACGACGGAACGGATTCAGGAACGCCCACAATAGCTGTGCTTTGCAACCAAGGTGCAGAAGTAGAAGTACTCAGCACAGGGACAGACCTTTACGTCGAGTTTGTTGCTAATTCCGAGTGGCCTGGCCAAGGCTTCAAGGCGAAGTTTGAATTTCAGCCATTAGACGATTCGCCTCATTCCGGTTTGTAACCGTTAATTTAACGAAACTTAATGTACAATTTTTTTGTTATTTTATTATTATTATTTATTCGCGTATAATATTGTTCAAATTACTATCAAATTTTAATTCGAGAAAATGTATAAATAATGTTTATTTCATCAAAATCCTATGGTTGAAGATAATTTGATTTTAGAAAATTTTTGCAACTTTTTTTTTATTATTTTAGAGAGCTTCTATTTTTTGATAATAATTATCATTAGAACAAGAGAGGAAAATCAGTTGAGATCGTTATCGACGTGAATGGAAACGCTTTTCTAATGTCGGTAGGGTAGGAATCTTTAGAGCTTTTGATACAAGAGCTTTTATCTAACCGTCGGTATAGAAGATCACGCGAGCTTTTCCCAACAAACTGCAATGATCGAGTGCAGAAAATCAAGGATTTCTTTTTCCCTCTGTGAATACTTGTTAAGCTCAATGGGAAAAGTATTACTATTTACCTATTGTCAAAACAACACATCCCGTTGTTTATTTATTATTATTATTCGATAAAGTTACAATCGATGTTACATATGATTTCCAATTCCATATTTGAAAATGTTTGTTTTAAAGGATAATGAAAATATTATTTATCTTCTGTTGAAAATAAATTAACATCTCATGCAATTAACTTTTCCATTTCTCAATCATTTAATTGTTATAATTATTAACGCGATACGACGTCATAATTTATATATTACTTAATCTTTGTCCGATAAAACGATCGTAAATAACAATTAAGTGTGTTCTCGTTGTATCAGGATGATCGTTAAAAAGTCATAAGATTATTTCAAGCTTGAGATATGAATGAGAATGATTAACGAAGATAATATATATACATACGCATATATATGAGTGTGTGTGTGTGTGTATACGTGTTTAAAATAAAAATGATGGGGGAAAAGGATGGTTGATATTTACAGTGCTATAAATCATGGACCGAAACCATTCGTATTAAGTCAGATTGCCCCCGTGTTCTATCTAACACGAAACTCTCCCTGTCGTAATTAACGGCACTGTATATTCCAGGGATAATTACAATAATGTGTTTCAGAGCTGGACAAGGTCGTCCCAGGGGCCGTAACTGGTAACCCTAGGTACTCGGTCATCGGGCCAGCTGTCAGCGCAACCAGTAAGTGCATATCGCTCGGCTTATAATTAATAAACCTTCTTAATCATCTTGCACCTTACTGAAACTTATATTAATCCAATATAGAATGAATATGTTTACGAACAAATGATTTCATTAGATTATCAAAATCATTTCCCTCGATCTTAAGGGAGAAATAAATATATAAAAAAAAATAGAAAGAAAGTATTTTTAATACGAGCATTATATATAAAAATGTTCTCCTTTGATGATTATTATTGTTATTCTAAAAGCACATATTTAACACGTTCGGTTATCGTTATTGATGAACGATCGAAAAACGATAATTAATTAGGTCAATCTCTTGATATATATTATTTTTATGGTTAAATGGATAAACGTAATACACATTCTTATTTTATTTTATAACTATTCTTATCTACACACGTATTTATATGACGTACATGAGAGTCCTTTAAAATATCACACAATGATTATTTTTTTAAAAAACTTCGTGAAACATTATTATTTTGTCTTTGATCTTAATAAAAAAAATAGAAACAAGGAAAAAAAATTACTCGTTGAATAGAGGATAATCTCACGAATATAATTGACCTATAATTTGATCACGTTGACAATGGTATATGATAAGATATTTAATCAAAATTTGAAAATAATGAATAACTATACTTATACCGTAACTAACGTAAATTGTTTTCCACGTATGGACATGGGAATAAATAACACATGTTCTTGATTACGTTGTTAGACTAAGAAAATAAGCATGAATATATAATATACGAACGAGAGGGTTACCCATAGACTCTCGAACTTTTTTTTTTCTTCTACGAGATCAGAAATTACTTATTAGCAAGAGAAAAAAAAAAGAAAAAAAAAAAAAATGTATAGAGAAGTAGGAGGAGCTTTGGAATAAAGAAAAGATCTTTATCGTAGAATAATTCTCATTCGTTCGTTCGATCGATCGTTCACCAGGGGGTGGGGGTGGGAAGGAGAGAAAAATGGAAATAACGAATATAAAGGAAAGAGGAAAAAAGAAAAAAGAAAAAGATAAAAAGTAATATGAAAGGGACAGAAGAAAATAATCTATAAAAAGGTAAATAAGATTTTTTTTGTTTTTTCTTTTTTTTTTTTCAACAAAAGTTAGTTACAAGAGTAAAGTCCCGCGGAAACACGATTGGCACACGTTTATTAATCCTCTTTAATTAATCTCATAACGGCCGAATAATTCGAATATTCGCGATGTTACCTGGGCGTTAATCTCAATTTGTATCTGGACCCGGAGACGGGCGTGTTTACTCATGTAAATGTATCTCCTAATACGGGCGAACAACAACAGAACCGGGAAGTAACAATGCCGATGAAGATGTGTGTGTGTGTGTATCTATGTACATATATAGATGCGTGCGTGCGTGCGTGTATCTATATATATATATATATATATATATATATGTATTAGTGAGAGAGAGAGGAGATATAGAAGGGGGTATGGGGGTATGGGGGAGGGGTGGAGGGGTGGATACAATAGGATAGGGCCTTTAGTAACAGAGAGGAGAGGAATCCTGTATATACTCGATGTGAACTGGACCAGAGAGAACGTCCTGCTTGCTTGCTTGCTGGCTACCAGGTACCAATTAAAGTCTCTTTCCATCTCTTTTCATTCTATTTTTTTTGTTTTTTTGTTGCAAACACACAACATCTCTTTTCATTTTTCTGCTTTCGTCCTTACGCGCGCGTATATGTACGTATGTATGTATGTATGTGTGTATGTATTTGTATGTGTCCTTTCTTTTTCATTCTTTTACTTTGTTATTTGTCTCTCTGTTCCTCTTTGTAATTCTTGTTTTCTTTCTCTGTCATTCTCTCTATATATTCTTCATTTCAATCTCGTATCTCCCTTTAACAGTACACCCTCTTCACGATACTTAGGTTTAACCATAAAACACGGGTACGCGATGTATCCTACACGCTCTTATACAGCCGAGACCCTACTTTCGTATGCGTTAGACTAACCGGTAAGTGCTCTAAATTATCCGACCACCTGCAACGCCCGGATACATAAAGTTTGCACCAGCCGATGCATTTTCCCTGAGTATTCCGTTAGCAAAAAGTTTCCTTTCGTAGCCTCCCCAAAAAAAAGAGGCCCTAAGAAGCACAAAAGGGGAACGGGAAGGAATACCCTAAGGGATCGAATCGATGATAAAGTTTTCTTCTTCTCAGAATATTCATCATAGAAAAACAAAAGAGAGAGAGAGAGAGAGAGAGAGAGAGAGGGAGAGAGAGAGGATGATGATGGGTGGATGGGATATGGGTTAAGGGAATTAAGGTTAGAAAATAAAAGCACCACTCGATGTTTACTTTCAACTGTCGTATAGTGTTTTTTTTCTTTTCTTTTTTTTCTTTTTCTTTTATCTATTGATTGTAACACGTTGACGAAAAAATATGTGACCGAGACATTTTGTTGACATATTAATTAAGAACGAACATCTTATCGTATCGTATCTTACTATCCTATTCTATCACCCACCCTGTTCAAACGTCAGATTTACATAAGTTGGCAATTTTTTTCAAGAGCGATTGATAGATATCCCTTTTGCTATTTTTTTATTTGTTTTTTTTCTCTCTCTATCTTTCAACCACTCGGCTTGGTTCAAGGTTAACGCCTAAAAAGAAAATATAAAAAAAAAAATAAACAAGGGTATGGCAAATGTAGGTGGAAGATAAGAACGTTGATCGAACAATAAAGATGAGTTGTTCCTTTTTGATTTTTTTCTTAAATTGTTTGCTAAGGTATTCTTATTCTTTTCTTATTTCTTTGTTTTTTTTTCTCTAATTTTTCGGTACACACTCTTCCTTTTTTCTCTGTCATATCGATATAGTAATTATCGGAGAAATTAATTGCACCGATAAAATGGATGAGAAAAGTTAGTTCGCGGTTTCGTTGGTTAGCTTAGAAGTTTAGCAATTTTCTCGCGTTTTCGTTAAAGCCTCCCTTTCCTCCCTCCCCATTCCACTCCCCTTCCTCCCCCCCCACCCCCATAGAAAAGAGAGAGAGAGAGTTTGTAAGAGAAAAAGGAGTCCTTTAGTTATTATTCCTTAGAACCTTAAATTCTAGATCGGTTTATGGTTACCTCGTATACACGAGTGTTTACTATGGCATAGAACGTAGGTTAAAGGGAAATATGCTATAAATTTTGTTCCACAAACCAGTAACACACCGTTCGTTTTCCTAAACTGTAAATATTCACTCACCTGAATCTATATACAGAACAGGTAAGGTGAAGCGTGGCGTATAGATATAGTTAGGTATTATTTTTCGAGGAAAAATCCAATGTTTGATAAGAAAATGTAAATCTACGACACGAGAGAGAGAGAGAGAGAGAGAGAGAGATATATATTCAGTTAACTTAAATAAAATAGAGAAATGATTCGTAGATATATCGAAGATAAAGATAGAAAATATATATATAGATATTGAACGTAACGATGATCGATAAAACTATATAATATTTTTGTTTATTCAATCATTTCCCGTATGCACATTGAATTCGTGAAATATTAAATTTTAATTTAGTATTTCTCTCGTCCAAAAATTACAATTTTTAAWGATGAAATTTAACAGGGAACTTGGACATGAAAGAAGWAGAACTWWGTTTGATTTAGTTGGACGTTTCGTCCCTTTATTGGGACTTCTTCAGCAACTTAATCTTTACAGTTCAGCGTCTTTTTTATTGAGTAGACATACATTTTTCTTTTTATTATTAATATTCAAAACACAAAACATCTAAACTTCGTTAAATTGATCGTTATTATTTAAGTTCCTCAACAAAAGTTTTGAGTTAAGTATTAGTTAAGTTCCTCAACAAAAGTTTTCAATTTAACGAA